TTAACGGTTTTCAAATAAGCATGTAAGCGAAAATCGTAAAGAAACGATACGCTAGACGCTTAATTTTACGATGGTAAATATGGACCTCAACACTATTATGAGCCCGTAAAGTGAGGTAAAGTAAAGTTTACTAAAAGTGTATTATGGATGATAATTTGATTTATTATTAAAACTAATTAATTAAATTATCTAAGACTTAGAATATTGTTAAGGAAGTTAATTAATTACTAAGATTAATTAACTAACTTATGTATACTTAGTATATGAATAAAATGGTTAATTAATTACCAAAATTAGTTAACTAAATTATTAGACTTATTATAAGGATAAGATAATTAATGAATTATCAATTTAGCACAAATTTGTAATGGCAATTAAGGAAAATAAGATTTTGAGGATTTAATAAATTGATCCTTATAGTAAATTATCCTTCAATAAAGGAAAGGAATACATACCTTAAGTAAAGGGTTAGATTTCCTTCATAAGTTGCTAAAATAGAATAGCAAATGACAGATAATTTCACACTCTCAATGGGTGTTCATTTTCAGAAGTAAGCAAGTAAGAGAATAGGCTGTTTGGCGAAGAGTGGATTCCAGCTCTGTAAATCAGGTAAGTAGGAATCTCGCCTACAGTATGAATAGATTTTTAAAGAAAAAGTTACACATGTTATATATGCATGTTTATGCTTTAAGTATTGTATGCGATGCTATGTCATGCTGCATACACATAAACAGCGCACATGAATTATATGTGTTTGAGTTAATTTAATATTATGTATACTATGTTAGATCATACTGCATACACTTAAGCAGTGCACATGAAGTATATGTATTTGAGTACATTCTATGTTATAGTATGCTTTGCTATGTCATATTGCATACACCTTAATAAGTCAAGAGGAACTTATAAGAATAATTATCAGTTGAGTGCCGTACCAGCCTCCGCAAGGGAGGTAACTCATGCTCCACAAGGGAGAAACAGAAAATAACAATAATGTCCTCCGACTCAAGGGAGGCATTCCAGTTATAATCACGGTGTCGTGGGGGACCTTGCAAACCCTCACGTTCCGATGATTGCGCGCAAGTGGTACGCGAGCACTCGGGCCCATCAGTAAGAAATATAAGATAAGATAATAAGACTATGATAAGACATCATAATTAAGCATAATCAGCTCATGCATATTTATTCATGTGTACTTTATTTTGTGTTGTGAGATATAGTTCCTACTTGCTGAGCGAAAGCTCAATCAGATATGTTCATGCTGTAGGTAAGAAACCTATCAGCAATTCTTGAAGGGCAATGGCAAGCGGCGGACGAATGGTGGAGATGGGAATGGATAACGCTCCCGCAGTTATCTTCCGCAGTAAGTTTAAGAAAAATCATGTATATGTATATATGATTTAAAGGTTTCAAGCATGTATGTTTAAAAAGTATAGGTACATATGTATGTTAAGGAAACCGAGGTTGTAGCTAACACCCTCGTTTTTGAGTATTTAAGTTTTAGAACGTTGCAACAGAGCATGCAACAAATAAATAAATTTTAAACATGACGATTTAAATGATTGATTTTAAAAGGGCTTTAAGATGTACTTGAATTTAAGATTTCTCACGAAATCCGTTTTAAAGTCAAAATTAAATGGCCCGATTGAATTGGCTAGTTTTAGAAAGGCTTTAAAAGAGCATTTGAAATAAGAGTTCAAATGCTGCTCTGTTTGAAAGATATTTTTAGAACGTTTTATCTTAACTGAAATTAAGAAAAGCTTTAAGAAATTTAGTGATTCACTTATTTGAAATTATTGTTACAAATTATGAAAGTACTCTTTCTTATATTAAAAAAAAAATGTTCCGCAAATTTTAATAAACCCCATTAAGTACAAGTTAAAAAGTTAGTAACAGTGGCGGCCTCATAGGAGGGGCGTCACTGTAACAAAATCTGATACAGATCTAATTACTTAAAATAAAAAATTACTGGTAGTTTATTTTTTAATCCTACCAAAGAAGCTCTCTTTTTTAATGTGTTTCTCGAAACACTTTTTTTTTTTCCAGCTTGCTCCTATTAAAATAATGTACAAATGTTCTCAGACTGAATTATGTTTTCATATATATTTATTTTTTATCAAAAGTAATCGTAATTTTGTTTTTCCTAATTATCCCTCTAATGCAATTTTTTCTCAAATGTGTCTCCTTTTAGATAGTTTTTTCGCCCAAATAAAATCCGGCCTCGTACTGCAATTCATTCTCCTTCCTCCACGTGATCAATATTTGTTTCTGGTCTTTTTTTCTTCCTTTTTCTTAGATCTTTTCCCTATTTATTTATATCTATTTAGTGATTTTTCGTTTCATTTGTCCTATTAGAATAATTTTGCTCAAATACATTCTATTTAACTAGGAATAGCTAATGTGTCTTATATATATTATTTTATAGTTTCGACCAAAATAATACTTCTTTTGATTAAAGCCCGTTTCGCTTTACGGCTGTTCTAAAATCTTACGTCTCTAATTATTTCTTATTAAATTAATTGTTCTAAAATACCTCTATATTTACATTTTTTTTTTCCTTAGTGGCACTTTCAACTATTCTAATTTATCTAAGTTTAAATAGTTTCTCTCACATATGAACCTACTTAATATTCTTTTTTTTTTTCTAAATATGGCCCTCATGAATACTTTTTTTTTCCATTTTCGTTAATGAAATCATATCTTCTCAAATTTGTCCCTGCCTAAATATTTTCATATGTATCCATAAAGAATTTATTCTCTAATTTTGCTCCACTAAAAAAATTTATTTTTCCTTTTAACTATGCTCTACTTAAATTTTTATTTTTGTTACTAAACTAAACTCTAAAAGGTCACTCTAGGGTGAACGATATTTGTTTCTGTATTTTCTCATCGTTAGAAACGCATAATCTAACATTGAAATGGCGATCAATTCCATCTTCAGAGAGGCCTAACTCGGTGCTCTTTCCTTCCAACACTTCCTCTCTTAGCCTTATTAGAACTAGATCAAGATTCTAAGTTACCTTTATTCCTTCAAGGATATATCGATTGCAGGGTAAAGGTAGACAATTGCTATATAGTTATCTCGATCCAATCTTTCAAATATCCTTCTGTAGGGTTTGAAAAAGTGCTTCGATTGACACGAGGTTAGCAGTCGGCTAATGGCTTAGGGCCTAGGTGACTTTATTGGCCTTTCTTAGGTGGTAATCGATCTCACAATCGTACTCTTTGACTAGTTATGACCACCTTCTCTATCTCATATTGAGCTCCTTCTAAGTAAATGCACCTGAGGCTCGTTTCCATCTTGCATTAACACGGGTCCTAATCCTATTTGCAATGTGTTGCTATAAATATCAAATTTTCCTATATTCGAGGGATAAAGAGAAGAGGGTCTCTAATAAGCCTTCTTTAACTCTTAGAAACTCTCTTGGTACCTTTTCGTCCGAACATACTTCTTCTCTTTCCATGTAAGTGCGGTAAGGGGTGCAGCAAATCTTGAGAATATCCTTCGATAAATCTCCAGTAATAGTCGGCTAGGCCTAAGATATTTCAAATTTCTATCGTGCTCTTCAATGCCAACGATTTGCCCAAGGCCTCAATTTTGGAGTGATCTGTGGATACTCCTTCCTTAGAGATCAAGTGTCCTAGATATTTGACTCTGTCATGCCAAAACTCGCATTTTAAACACTAATTAATTAGCATAAAGTTGGTGTTCCCCCAAGCTTGTAAAGCAATCCTTAAGTGCTCTTTGTGTCCCTACCAGGCCTTAAAGTCGGTTCATCGAGTTCATAAAAGCTGCAGAGGTATTGGCTAATCTAAACAACTTGACTAAAAACTCATGATGCCTAGAGTTAGTATGGAAAGTTGGCTTAGGAATATCATTCTCCTTATTTTCAGCCGATCATATCCCGATTGCAAATAAATCTTGGGAAAGATTGCTACTCTCTTAAGTTGATCAAAAACATTGTTGATCCTTAGTAACGGGTACTTGTTCTTAATCGTGACCTTGTCAAGTCCTTGATAGTTAATGCACATCCTAAATGAATCTTCTTTCTTCTTTACGAGCAACCCTAATACGCTTTATGGTGAATATCGTCGTGGTTGCAATTCATTAGGGTCAGTCGGAGCGTGTGCCGTGATACCTATTGGTTTTGTCTGTGGGAGTTTCAATGTATCCAAAGTTCTTCTTCTCCTTGGGACCTTGAGCAATCTCACTATTGTAATAGTAGAAGTCGTCGTTATATGGCGTCATAGTCGGATTGATCTAGATTGACTAGTTATACACATATATTCCTATTGAAGAATAATTATATAGGTGCTTGTCTAGTCAATAGTTGGGCTTCAATGATTTCCTAAGGAGTGAAACATACTAGACTTATAAATACTCCTCACTTACTCTTAATATTATCCTTACTCTGATAAGATTGTCGTCACCTATAGGGTCGAACCTCAAAACCAAGGAATCTCATTTTATAGGCCGACAATGCGTTCAAAATAATGGAAAGAAAGATTACCAATTTTTTCGTGCACATTTAAGCTAAATCATCCCCAATTAATGGCGTATATTAGTTGCGTATGCTTTTCTATTCAGTGCAGCTAGTATTAGTTTTGTCACATGCTTCTATTTTTGCTTTCGAGCTCGTTATGTTTTTCTTAATCATGAACTTTGTAGTTTTTATTACTTGATAAAATGTGTAGTTTTTACTAGAGAATATGAAGTTGAATCATGCTTAACTTAGTCAGCTGCGAGGGTATATTTGAAATTTCTTACGTGTACTTTTTTTAGGTACAAGAGAGAAAATGTCCGATGAAAATGATGGCCTCATTGTAGACGGCGCGGGAAGGCCAGAAGAGGAGATCCAGCTAGCTTATGATCAACACCTTATTAGTATGCCAATGGTAGATTTAGTGGAGAGGGAAAGAGATCACACCATTGAACGCTTTGAAAAAGAGATGAAATGGCCAACACGGAAAGAAAAGAACAAAGAAAGAACAGTGATTCAAAAGGTTCCAGAGACCATACTAAAGAATGGAGCTAACAAAGAGCATTTTAAGCCAAAGGAGTTGTCAATCGGTCCTATTCATGCTGGTGATTCTGATTTGTTCCAAAAAGAACTCAAGCTTAAATTGGCAGCATGTTACATCAAAGAAACCGGTAGAAACGTGCATGAGTTATACCAAGAAATCGAGAATAAGTTGCGGGAGATAAAGATGTCCTTTGATGAAGAGGTAATTAATACATATAGCGATAAGGAATTGATAGAATTGTTGTTCTTGGATGGGTGTGCAATTTTGGGGTTCATACACAGTTATGTTAATAAGAAGTTAAATATGTTTCCCATCAGTAATGAGAAAGCGGCCTTGATTCAGCAGGATTTGTTTTTGCTAGAGAACCAAATACCCTTTACAGTCCTCAAAGTGTTGATGGACTTCGAAAATGAAGAGAATTTGATACAAGATTTTTGCAGATTTATTGCTCTTGCGAGTACCTTTCCAAGGGACATAACAGAGTTCATAGTTATGGATTCGGTTGCCGAAGATCCCATACATTTTCTTGACCTTTTCCGGCAAGTACTCTTGCTTAAAGCTAGCCATATTATCTTCAGGCGGAGTCATCTCACGCTAGAGGTTCTGGTTTTCAATCTTTTTTATCTCTGTAGTAAATTGTGTTGTTGTGGTTGGATACAAGTTGCGTTTGATTGTTGCTTGGAGGGACTATCTACAATTATATCAGGATGTATGAAGTACTTTCGCAAGAGGCAATCAAAAAAGAAGTCAGGGCATATAAAGTACTCCTTTCGCAATGTTCAGGAACTTCAAAAAGCAGGGATAGATTTCAAGCCAAGTGATTCTTTAACAACCATATCTTTCCATTCTCCATTCTTTACTAGAGCTCAACTTATGCTTCCCACATTAGTTGTAGACAATTCTACGGAAAAATTGTTGTTCAACCTGGTCATCTTTGAGATGTGCTTACCCGAATATCGTCAAAACGAAGAACCTTGGATTACTTCTTACGTAAACTTGTTAGACTTGCTCGTTGACAATGACCAAGACGTTAAGGACCTAAGGGATGCGGACATTCTTCAGAACTGTCTCGGTACCAACACTGAAGTTGCGAATTTGATCAATAGAATAGGCTCCAAATGCTTTGCACCACGCGAGGACACTTATGAGGATGTCAAGAAGAAAGTAGAAAAGCATTGCAGGAGTATATTCAGGAGAAAATGCTCGCTCTGGATGACTCAAGTCTGCCATACTCATTTTAGTAGCCCGTGGACTATTCTGGCTCTTGTCGCCGCTACAGCGGTACTTGCATTAACTGCTGTTCAAACTTATTATGCGGCCTATCCATACCACTGAAAAGGTATGAAATATTTCTCCTTTTCCTAATTCACAAATTGCTAATTTTATTTCAAAAATTTATATTTCATCAACACTGATAGTTTGATAATTTAATTCAGGGTAGTAGAAGGGTCGAATATACAGCTATCACGAGCAAAATGTGGAATTGAGCTTACTGATTCCTTGCACCTATCTTAATCGCTGTCGGAATTGCTTAGGCGTAATCAAGATTGTCATTTGGAAGGGCTATCAAAACCTTTTTATTTGGCTATCGGAACCTTTTCTCCTTCAAATTTGTCGTTCATAACTTGTTCAAGTGTGTTTTTCTTTTAAGGTTTAACTTCACTTCCTTGTTTGGGTCGTTTGGGTGTTTTTGTCAAATGGAGTTACCAATATTAATGTCGTCTTGGATTATGTGGAAGTTTCCTCTGTTTCTTCTCCGTAATGTCTATGTGGAGAAATGCAACCTTTCTTTTTTCCTCTCATTTCTCTCCTTTGTTTTTGGGCTAGAAATCTTTGTTTGATTGTTGTTATCTCAATATTTATTCTTTCTACTTTCTACAGAAGTTCTTTTGGCAAACATACAATACGTTTGAGTAAGATTTTGAGTGAGAACTGAGTGTTGGAGCAAAACACAGATGTCAAATGCGAATAGAAAAATGTTATGAAAGTAAATCGCTTGCTAACATTCCTGTATGAGAAGGATTGTCCCACGGATTTGGTTTTTGTCGGAAAATATCCAAGGTTTTAAGTATTTATGATGTTTGCTTAAAATATGTTGTCCGTAACTTGTTTGATTGTCTATTTCCCTTTGTTTAAGCATAAGATTTCGAGTGAGAACAATTCAAATTCAAAAAGTGAAAATTGATACTAAAGAAAAATGTTTGTTTGCATTCCACTGATGAGAACAATTGCGTCAATGAAATGGGAAATTTATTTTCGTCTAAATATTTAAGCTGAATAAGGCGGCATTTGATAGCTAGGAAAGCGACTTCAAATTCAAAAATTAAAAAAAAAAAAAAAAAGTAAACGGGAACACTTATAATGTGCGAAGAAAGTGTGCAACACATGTGTTTATGCTGTTGAAGTTGATCACTGTAGTGTTATTGTCCACGAATTTGAAGCAAGCATAAAGCTAGTACCTAGTTTTCACAGTTCATTAGAAAAAAAGATTGTGTAAAACTTCCCAAGGGTAATCTTCAATTCCACATTTGGCAGCTGATGCTAGAGAACATACATCTCTATAGTCAGAGTATATTCGACCGGTTCGTTGTGTCGGAAACAAATGGCTCTCAGTTCTTCATTAAGGGTTCGTTTGGTTGGAAGATTCAAACCATGTGATTCGAACTATTTTCGATTTACGTGTATTTTTTATAAAAGAAAATACTATAGTGAACCACGAATCATGATTCGAATCAGGGAACGAATCCCTCTACCAAACGCACCCTAAGTTGTTTTAATGACTATTCGAATTTCGTCATATTCATCAGAAGTTAATCAATTGGCTGATAAGTTACCATCTTTTGGCGTTCATCATCTACGCTTTTTGCGGTGCTTCTACGAGATTTGTCCTGATTTTCTCTCTATCATGCTTCTACTTTTAGTCCCTCTTCTGTTTTTTTCGTTTCTCCACTTAGCTCATTGAGTTCTGCTTTGTTCTGTTCTTGGAATAGGAGAATTGTTTGGTTCAAAGCTTCTCTTTTTTCATTACTTATGGGCTGGTTAGATCATTTAGATAATTTGTACTCTTTTCTCCTTTTCTATGTTTTCTTTTTGGGTTTTGTCTAATAAAGTTTTTGTAATACCCAAGATTTAATTAAGTCTTAAGCTAATAATAAATAAATTTAGTAAATTAAAATCATACATCACATTTACCATTTACCTAAAATTTATTTGTTGGCATTATATTTTATTATTATAGATATCATATGATTTTATTAAACTTATAGCTTTGTTAATCGAGTTTTCAGTTTTAATGTGTGGTGCAACTAGCTCGATGTAGGAACTCAATGTGCTAAACTTATGAGGAAAAAAATGATATGATTTTATTAAACTTATAGCTTTGTTAATCGAGTTTTCAGTTTTAATGTGCGGTGCAACTAGCTCGATGTAGGAACTCAATGTGCTAAACTTATGAGGAAAAAAATGATATTTATTATGATTATTTGATATGATATTTTACCTCTATTATGATTGTTTTAATGATGAATCATTATTTTATATTTTTATTATATGGTTTTATGTAAATGTGTTGAGGACTTAGTTGCTATTTTGAGTTTTTGTGAGAGAAAGGTATGTTAGTAATTGAGTGAACTTTAGGCACCTAAATATAGAGACTTTAGAGCTGATTTTATGAGGTTAGGACAAATGTTAGAGACTTAGAAAAACCTAGACACTTATCATACTATAAGGTCACTTTACTTTTGCTTGGTCTCTATCATGTATAGACTTCATTTTTGGGTCTATTTCAGCAAAAAGGCCTAAAACTTCGACCCTAACATTTTCTTCTCTCTTCTCACTCCTTTTCTCACCCAAAACTCAGAATCAAACCTAGGTTTTCAAGAGAGAATGAGCTAAAAACTCAACCAACCCATTTCAACTCGTTTTCAACCTAGAACTAAAAATAACTACCAAGGTTTTGAGCTTCTATTCACTTGGGAACACATTTTTCTTTGAGGTAACTTTTGTCTTATGTTAGAAACTAAGATTTCAGAGATTAAGATGTTAAAATCCTACTTGAGATTCGGATTTTTTATGGGGCTTATTATTCAAGTTGGTTGTAGATTCTTAAAAATGAGTTTCTTGAGGTTTTGGTTCAAATATTGGTTTTTGGGTGAAATTGATGATTTTAGCTTGATATTATTGATGATTATTTGAAGATAAACTCTTATTAAGATGATGATTCATGTATTTGAGAGTGGTCTTTGAAGATTAAGATCTGCATGTTAGGTATTTGATGAAATGTTCAAATATAAGTTCTCTGTACAGCCTATGTAGATTCTGTTTTCGTCCTATATATACCTATGATTTTGACTAATCCTATATTTTTCTATTAAAGTATACATCTCAAGCTTTACGTGAGTTTTTTAATCACTCCAAACCGATTTTTCTACATTTAGTTATGAAGAAAGCTTTCATTTTCCTGACGAGATTATACTTCAATCTGGATTTCGGGCTGTTTTTGGTTTGTTTGAAAAATCTGAAACCTATAATGTAGTAACTCTAAAAAGAGGGTTTTGAGTCTACTTTTATTTGCCATTAGTCTCATAATATTTTGAGTTTTGATGAATTTGTTATGAATATTTTTGTAACAATGTGCAGTTATGTGTTTTAGTAAATGATGATATGAATGTGATTTTTGAAAGTTATGATTTTTAAAGGTTAATTAGCACATTGAAGGCTCTCCATAACCAGCTAGTTTGTGCTTGCAAAGTGGTGATCGAAATTCAAGTAAGTAGAGTTAAAGGCATTTCAAAACTGCATCACAAGACCCTATATGATTATGTTCAAGGAGTATTCATGATTAATTATTTTGAAAGAGATTATGATATTTGCTTATTATGTTTTTATGCTTTAAGAGATTTTATGGTATGGTATATGGATGAGAGGCTGGGTAAGCAGGGGTGCGAGAGACCGGTACCCCAAATTAGAGAAACTGTATCTTTGAGACAACTAGAGAAAAATGCTAGTGGGAAGTCTCTTGTTGATCACAAGAGAAAGAGATTCTAAAAACCCCGCTTAGTGTTAAAGAGAAGAGAATTGGCCATAATTAGAGAAGGTCTTGTATAGAGAGGCTTACTTGGAACCAAAGTTCTGTATCATACCTAAACTAAGAATAAGTATGAAAGCTTATGAACAATCTTTAACAAAGAGATTTTAACCACGGAGATTTTTTATATTTACTATATTTGAAATCTACTTATTGAGTTTTTGCTCATTAATTTTTCCTTATAATGCAGATGATGTTGTTGTTATCGAAGAGTAAAAAAAAAAAAAAATGATTTCCAAGGTTGGCTGAGTACTCCAAGTCCTGCATTTGGCATCTTGCGTATATGTACTTCCAAACAATAGATGGGCTCAAAATGTTTTTTCTTTTTTGTTATCGATTTTGAATAACTGTTTAATGTCTAAGATTTGTAGTTATAATCATATTACGCACTAACTCATTTTGTTAAAAAACTTTTAAGAAAATTTTGTGATGAAATCAACCACAAGTTTCTACATCTTATAAATGACATTGTTTTAAGTATAGAAAGTATGTTTTAAGTTACACCACCTCACTAAATTCGGCCTTAGACCGGTTTAGCGATGGGGGCGTTATAGTTTTTACGAAGCAAATGCTTACTATTAAAATAATAAAAATAATAATCATTGATTCTTTTTTAAGTGCTTATTTGACTAGTAGACACTACAACAATAAAGGCCGTCCCTTCACCGGATAATTTTTGAAATCGGAAGCTAATTAGTGCGTAGGCAGCGCTGCGCCGTCTCTTGTACCCTTTTATAAAGAGAATTTGAGTTAAGACTAATCAAAAAAGGAAGTAACCAATCAACCAGACCAATCTTTCTGTGGAGGCGGCGAAGGACAGGTAAGGCTTTGAAGCCAAGCAAGCAGCTATTGGAAAGAAAAGAAGTTGAAGCTATAACAGCTGTAGAAAGAAAGAGAAAAACAGGTGCCATCCTCTGAAATGGCAGCTAGGCTCGTTAGGAAAAAAAGACTTCTGGCGTTGGGTAGTGACACCGATCAAGCCCTTCACTCGGCTTCCTCTTTTCCTTACTCTTCTTAGTAGAATTCACATTTTTTGTGACGAAATTTGTCGTCGCAAAAAATACAACATGTCGTTGCAATTACTTTCCGTTAAATAAAATAACTATGTCGTCACTAATAACTTAAATGTCGTTGTAAATAATTTTGGAGCACAAAATATTTCAATGGCGCGGATTTTAATACCATTTGAGTTGGGGCTCGGTGTGGGATGGAGTCATTTGTGAGTGCCAACAAGTCGTTCTTCTCAACAGTACGGTTAAAAAAGAATACATTTCCTCCACTGTCTTGGAGTTTCAAACAAATTTCTTCAATAATCACAATCAAACGAGAAGTAGTTGTCGAGATATAATAGATTTTCACAGAAACTCAAGGTCATGGCTCAAAATAATAGAAAAGAAAGAGAGATCCAAAACTCGAAGTCTTGGTCAAGACGATTCGCACTTTTGCGGATGTGCTTAAGCACGCATACAGTTGAAGATGGATTCTATGAAAGAGATAAATCTTAGCGACCTAAAGACATAAGAAAATAAAAAATTAAGAAAACGAGGCACACAGCGCATTATTTTGTTTGCCAAGTTTTAGTTTTTAAGTTGTTTTATGACTTTGGTTTAGAAGAAGTTTTTAATTTGTTTATAACCTTTTCGCGAATAAAAACAACAAAAAAATTCTTGATATGAAATAAATAAATTAGTGCTGAAAAGTATTGGTCGTGTAAGGGAACCAAAGGTCCCGGGAGTCATAGGGAGAAAGGCATGGGCTATCTCCCCCCCAAAAAAAAAAAGAAAAAAAAAAGTACTTGGTCATGTCCTATTATATAAAACATGAAGTTGGTCTCCTTCTACAAATCCACTAGAACATTAAGGACTCAAGTCACTCTTATATGGAGACCCGCATGTAAAAGTTATGAAAAATTAGTATCTTTGAAGCAAGCAAATCAGTGTACCAACAGGTTGTGATAAATGTGAAATTGAGCGTGCGGATGCTATAGGCTGATCTTTTACGGATTCCTTGCATAATTCACATTCATGAGATGCTAGGCCGAACACGTACATCTCTCCGGCGGAGTATATTCCGCACTTTGTTCCGTCCTAGATTAAATTGTCAAAGTATCAATGTTGGTGAGATAGAAACTTTTGAAATAAAATCAGCAAATTTGTAATAGTATTTTGTATAGGAAAACAGAAAGTGGGAAAATATACGGCATATATTTCAACACTGAAAAGCAGAATATATATAGTTTACAGAACTTACATCCACGACGGCCTGGAGAGAGAGAAACGACGGCGGCGGCGGTGATTCTGACCACCACGGACGGTGGTGCTCCGGATTCCTTGCATAATTCACATTCATGAGATGCTAGGCCGAACACGTACATCTCTCCGGCGGAGTATATTCCGCACTTTGTTCCGTCCTAGATTAAATTGTCAAAGTATCAATGTTGGTGAGATAGAAACTTTTGAAATAAAATCAGCAAATTTGTAATAGTATTTTGTATAGGAAAACAGAAAGTGGGAAAATATACGGCATATATTTCAACACTGAAAAGCAGAATATATATAGTTTACAGAACTTTTAACCGACTCTAAATATATTCTAACTAACAGAATCCTAAGAATAGAAAAGGGAGATTATAAAAGATTACAAACGGTTAGAAAGGATAATCTGGTTCCTAATAATTTAAATTTAAAGTTCAAACTAAATATCTCTAATATTTTGTACCTTTCAATTTTTTGGATTGACTGAATACCAAGTTTGAACAAATGTTAATGCAAGGACCACCATAGCAGCAAACAGAGCCAGAATAGTCCATGGGCTTCTAAAATGAGTATTGTAGACCTGAGCAATCCAGAGCGCACACCTTCTTCGGCTCCTACTCCTGCAATGCTTTTCTATTTTTTTCTTGACATGTGCATAAGTGTCTTTGTCTGGCGGTAAAAATTCAGAGCCCATGCCGTTGATCAAATTAGCGACTTCAGCATCGCTAATGTGCAATTTCGGAAGAATGTCCGCTGCTTTTAAGTCCTTGACGTCATGTTCATCGTCAACAAGCAAATCTAGCAAGTTTATGTAAGACATAAACCATGGTTTTTGATTTGGATGAAATTCGGACAAGCACATCTCATAGGCGGCCAAGTTGAACAACATTTTCACCGTCAAATTGTCTACAACCAATCTGGGAAGCTTAAGTTGAGCTGTGGTAAAGAATGAAGAACGGAAAGATATAGTTGTTAAAGAATCACTTGGCTTGAACTCTATCCCTGCTTTTTTAAGTTCCTGAACATTAGGAAAGGAGTACTGTGTAATCATGCTCCAATATTGAGGGAGACTCTCTGATTTATTGAACCGCTTCAAGATCCGACTAATAAATGCCACTGCTCGACAAGCACAATGACATAAAAGCGAGCAAAGACGACGAATGAGATTAGTTGGAATGCACTCATTCTGATGAAAAACGTTAGGGTTATCAAGTAATAGTACTTCTCGTAGAAGGTCAAGAATGTGTAATGGATGTTTGTGAACCGAATCCAAAACTAGGAATTTTGTAAATTCCCCTAGATTATTACCCATAAGAGCAATAAAT